TATATTAAACAATTAAGTGAAATGTAGCACATATACAGAGAAATATTCGTTTTCCAATTTGTAAATATTTAACGTTTTACTTTTAAAAATGTTTTGAACCAGATTTTGCACCTACAAAATGCATATCGAGTGTTGAGTGGAAGATCGACCTATCTCGGCAGCCAGTTCGAAAAGACCCTATCTCAAAAAAAGTTTCAAGAACGCCCTATTTCAGAATTTTATTGAAAATCACCCTATCTCAGAATTTGGTTGAAGAACCCCTATCTCAGAATTCGGTACAAAAACGCCCTATCTTACTTCAAAATACATATATTGAAAATGTGCTGAGATAGGGCGTCCTTCAACCAAATTCTGGAATAGGGCGTTCTTGAAAAGTTTTTTCAGCTAGGGCGTTTTCGACAGCGAAGAGTGAACAGAGGTATTTCGCACATCATCTCTGCTCTGCATGTTCGTCGCAAACGACCTGCGAAAGCAGCTGGAAAGGAACAGAAAGTGATAGATAGCGGGTCAGTTAGATTTCTAAGTCCCTCATGTGATTTGAGCCAAGTTAACTAGCAACCTCTTTTTCAAACCTAGCAAGACTGAACTGTTTTTATTTACTAGGAAGTACAAGATTCCGAACGTAATTCGGCTCTCCATTGAAGGCCATTGTCTGCTTCTCTCTGATAAGGTTAGTGCGTTGCCCATTATTTCTTCTCTGGCGCTTAATGCCATGCTGAACACATTATCGTTGATATTGCACGAATTCACTTAAGGGATAATTTCGGGAACATTAAACTTGTTCTCAGAGAGATCGAAACTTGATTATAGGGTAAAGTTTGGGAGAACGGGCTGTAGCGTTTTTGAAATTGAAGTAGCTACCATTAAGCAGGCATTATATATTTTGTAGGTGTGTTAAAGACGTCCCAGAAAAGCTTCTACAGCTTACATGTAAGATGATTAGGTTTGCACAACAGTCCAGTTTTGTAGCTCGTATTTCTTAATCAAACGTGAAGAGCTCTTGGAGTTGAGATTAGCTGTCAACACAATCGCTACCTATCAAAGAGAATTTGTTTTAAATGTTATCTATATTTCCGACTAAAATAAATTGGATTGGCAAAAAACTAAGACACCTCTCTACGAATATATCTCGCACTTGAGCCTGGGCAAGTGAACTAAAGATGTGCTTTGGAGAGATATGACCTTAGCCCAATCTTCAGCTGCTTCTTTTGCCTTACCTTCTTCACTATTTTCTGACAGTGGGCCTAAAACCCGTAGAAGAAAGTACTACTTATTAATGCATGTGGCTCATGTATTCCGGTTGACCTAAGAAGCAGAAAGCTAATTTTAAAGTAGTCAACGGGCTAGAAGTTTTTTGGTAATCGGTGCATACAATTAAACTTCCACAACTCCAACCCATGGCTCTTAAGATATCATATACTTCGCCTTCAGATACCGAGCTTTATTTTCTTAAGTAAAATATGAAGCTTTGCCTAAATTTTGATATGGACTCCGAATTCTGACCTAGAGCTGGATGTTTAGCCATCAGAAAAATTATATTCGAACCTCTACTACCGCACCGTCCACGCGTAAATATTTGAGTATTCACTCTGCGCGGATGGAAAGTAGGGTATAAAATTCGTTTCGCAGAAGCAATCCATCTTAAAATTATACGTTTTTACTCAGAATGGTACACCGAAGTAAATTTCAAATGAAATTATGAAGTACGCTTCCTCCTATTGGTTGCATCTATGTAAATTAGAAAATCAACATCAACAAAATAACCATAACCAACTCAACAGATAGCAAGTCTTCTAACAAAGAATATAAATATGTACTACATATTTAGAACAAGTTTTTAGACAATCACAACAAAAAAGTTCTGCTTAGAGAAGCGCACGGGAGAAGAAATTAAATTTGAAAGGAAATTTAATAAAGTTGATGGATAAAAGCAAAAAACCGGCTATATTTCCTGCAAATTCTACATACATATGTAGGTATATATTTACATATTCACGTACATTAATTAGTATTGTATAATGCAATCTGAATAACTGGCAAGCAAAAACGGAAAAGCCCTACGCAAATGTACTTACTAGAAAAACTATACAAATGTTACTAGCAAAGTGTTGTTTTGCTGTTGTTTGGCTACAACATTTGAGACTCAATAAATGCAATTTCCTTTGTTAATAAATTTACGCAACAGCAACAAAAGAGAGGGTACGTAAATGCAGCCGCAGGCAAACTCCGAACATAGTAGCAATCTGTTACATTTTCATTAAATAGAGAACAACTTAGCAGTACTTACATGTGTTGTACATAGTTTGTGGAGAAAGAAATAGAAAAATATATGAAAACAAGTAAGAAAGTCTAAGTTCGGGCGGAGCCGAACATTAAATACCCGTGAAAAAAACATATATTTAATACTTGCGCCGGGTATTTAATGTTCGGCTCCGCCCGAACTTAGACTTTCTTACTTGTTTTTTTTTTGTAAATAACATTAAACCAAAGAACAAGAGCCTGCAGTGATGAAGAAGTTTGATGTTATTTAAGTTGTAAAAAAGTTCTAAAAAGGGGTTTTAAACGGTTGGAATTTCTTGAAATTAAATGTGCGACGACGAGCAGTACTAAAATTCTGAATTAATTTTATTTTAGGCGTTTAGCCTGTCCAAAAAATTATTAGCTCGCAGAACTCATGGGGACTACACTGAGCGATGGCGAACCAGCTCATAAAACCATTTGTCGTTCGGGGGTGAAGTTAAATTATAGCTCCTTACATCTGCTCCAATTTTTTTCTTTGGAATTTTATAGTTTAAAGTTTGGTTTGCAGTGTGTAGTGACATCGAAAAGGGTTAAAGGCATCAAACGAACGAATGAAGATATTTATCATTAATATATGATTGATAAAACTTCATTTCTTAAGTGCTGAGCCATTTTACCAATTTGTTGGCCTTAAGCTTCTGAGGTCAAATTGTTAAAAAAAGGTTATGTAATTTCATTTCACTAAACTTTGCCACGCGCAATAAAATTAAATTAAAGAGGCCAAACTCAAATTGAGCAATACGTGCATACATACTACATACATACATTGAAGATGTAGCAAAAAGGTTTTCCCAGAAATCGTTATGGCTGTCTGTGTGCATAAACACATACATACTCATGCAAAGCTAGTCTCTCAATCAAGTACTTATATGACCATGAGCATAGGTGTGGGCGTAGTATCGGTTTGCTTTTGCTTTTGTTGGCAATCGCTTTGGTCGATTTTGCCGACGCAACGACGCGTTGCACATCACAACATCCGCCAATATATTTCCGGTTTGCAGTGAAGCGTAGGCAGAAGTACACTAAATCGCACACAAACGTATATGTTTACGTACTATATATGTCGCTGCTTGCTATGTTTGAGTTCCGGTCGCTTAACGAAAAATTTTGCATGTGAAAGCAACAACAAAGTTAGCTAGCACGGATAGACGATAGCGAATTTGGTTGTACCTCATTGAGTTCGTTCGTTTCGTCACTCGCTAACTGATGGCGAATCGATGACGGCTAATCTTAAACGCCGATAGAGCAACAACTATGCAAACACAAATAAACGTTAGTGTTGAGCGGAAGGCGGAGTAATATGCCAAACGTACGCCCAAATGGGCTCCCACAAGCGCACGCACACACATCCAGGAACGGGAATGCATAACTACATTGTTAAGGCAAAAAGCAGGCTACTAAACGCCAACAGCAACAATGTGTTAAATGCGAATTTATCGGCGTCAACGGTGTAGAAAAAAAATTGCCGACAACTGCCAATAAAGTTGTTGGCTGGTTATGCGAAATGTATATTTTATGTAGGTTGATGTAAAACGAACAAAGGGTGGACGGTGCAGATGCGAAATTGCATACATAGCTTCTTATATAAGTACATACACATGCGCCACGCATCCAATGGCGTATCACACTTCGAAAGAATCTGTGGGATTCAGACGCCCCCACATGAACTAAAATCGTCCAAAAAAATCAAGCAAGCTTCTCGCTGACTCTTGAATCACAATAATTTCTTTGTTTGCATCTGTTTTGAAAATACCTCTAACAACGATGTGTCTCCTAATTTCCACGAATCTTTTAAGACTATTATCAGCGGCTCAGTTGAGTTTTTCTTAGTAGAGACCTCTCTAATTCCAGGGTTACGGCTTCTTGATCACTGAATCGTATTTTAGGTACTTACTGTTACCCAATCTCACTATCTACTCAAAAGCCAATTGGTTTGTAAATCTCTGCGCTCTCTGACCTTAGAAGGTTAAGCATTGATAGACCTCGAAGAACCGATGCAAATCCCAATAGGACGGAACTCGACTTGTTCACAACGAACAATAAAACATTGCACGCGATTCTTCCCTTTAATTGGAGGAAAGTGTACACCTGGAGCTTTGTGATAGAGTCAAGTACTTGGCATTGATTCTAGATGGGAAGCCTACATTGAGGCCTAACGAGGAAGAAGAAAGCATCCGCGGCTCTCTACCGGTAAACTGGGCAATTAATATGGATATTTTCTGGCTCTATGAAACAAAAATTAAGCGCACATAGTTTCACGGAGTTTCCATCTGAGGAAAGGCACCAGAGCAGACTACAGTAGTGAAAACACTGGAGAGGCGACAACGAACCGTTATAGTGGGAATCAGAGTCCTACTAAATATCACTCTCACTAAAGCACTTAACGTCATGTTAGATATGGACTGGTAACAAGAGCTCTGTTTCTTCGGACATCCATACCAGGCCTCTTGCCCCTCTCACAAAGCTTATGGATGCACCAATGTCTTCAACTATCAACATAACTGTTACTAATGCAGCAAGCAGCAATGTATTGCTAGCAGCCATTAAACTTACCTTTACTGGCAATTTTTATAGCCTACTTATAGGCGCTCACACGTGATTCGTTACATTCCACTCTACTTCAACTAATCGAATACACTTTTTCTCTTATCGCTTGCACAACTCCTGTACAATATATTTCTCTTTTGTTTTCCTTTTAGGTGGGCCCATTATCATGGCATGCAATGTACAACCAATACAAAAACAACAACATCAGCGGCAAAACGAACAGCACAACTCATTAGAGCAGCAATGTATTAGGCAACTGCAAAAGCAACAGCAACAATCATCTTTGCCACAACGTCATCAGCAACAGCCACATTATCGAAGTCAGCAGCGGCATCTCCAACAACAACAACAACAATTGCAGGCAATCAAGCAGCAGCGCAGTTCTGCAGAATGCCAGCAATTGACGCAACAGCGAACGCGCTCGTTGCATGCAACGCTTAAATTGTTGCAACGACCCTCGACCACCGTAACGCTGTTGTTGCAATTGCTGGTGTTGTTGTCGGCAAGCCCAACGGCACTTGGCGAAGGCAATGTCGGTGAGTACCTAAGCAACTGTTGTTTCTTTTTTTTGTAACCCACTGGAGGAAGAAAAAACAATAAACAGACACATCACTACTTATCGGCATTCACACACAGATCACCGCAAACATTTACACATATTTTCTATGTATATATATAGGGAAATGTGCACTCGCACGAAAGTGAATATACATACATATGTATGTTTACAGGTCAAAGCTCAAAACAATGAGGGTTTAAATTCCTGCATCGCTCCCTCAACGCTGTCAACTAAATTGCGCTTGTGCTACTTTGTTCCCGAAATTACTAACCGCCTTTGTTATTTTCGAAATTAATTTGCCCCAACACGGAGGGGGTTACTTACTACATACATATGTATGTACGTGCATATGTACTTACATAAGCTTGCAGCAGATAAAACGATTGTTACAATGAAGCGCCTTGCGGCTGAGTGCTCGCAGTTGCATTGAGGTTTGAGGAAACAGCATGAAACATTTCAATATGCATTAGGGAAGCCAATTTCTGTGGTTTTGGGAAATTTACCTTTATAGCCGCAAATTAATTTGGTTTCAAAGGCTGGAGTGAATGCAATTGAGGAGCGCTTAGTGGTAAATGACCATCGAATTTGGGGGTTAGATTGACGTTTTGATGTATTAAAACTATTGAAGAACTTTACTTTCCTCCAACTAATGTGCACCCCTTGGGAAATAAATGTGCTTGATTAATGCAATGGTATTGGTTTTTTGCGGAAGTTGAGTGAAAACTATTTGCCTTTAATGAAACCACGAGCCATGTAATGCAGAAACACGTAGACGCTGGCCTGATTCAGTTTAATTAACGTATGTATATAGTTTCCTTAACAAACTGCAGTTTTAGTCATAGCCAGCCAATGCAAGGGCTGACATAGTTTCATATCAAGTACATAGTTGTTTAAGTACCAATAACAGTGTGGGAAAAAATTTCCCACAGTATAAAAAAAGGTGCTGTTCAGAAAAATATTTTAATCAAAATAAGAAAATTTCTTATCTCTCAATTTAACAGAAAATCTCGTATCTCCCCGATTAACAGGAATTATTTTTATTTAATTAAAAGCTTTGGACAATTACTGCATCGCTGCTACCAGCAATTCGTTGAAACTTTCCCACTACAAGGACTGCTTCACTTCACGGTGATTTAAAAAATGAAATCAGTTTTTTGTACTGGTTACCGGTTTTATTGGTTGTTTTGGTCCTAGGACCAACTTAACAACTTATTTATGCAGGCAATGTGGCTTCTACCATCAATAGGCAGCTAACGAGTTGCCGGAATAAACTTAGGCAAATGGAGGGTTGCGAAAATAGATAAGAACAAAAGTCACGAGATATGGTGCGGTGACTATCCGTACTTTATTTCGAAAGGCAGTCCTCTTTCTTTATGGGCTGTCCATTGACTTTATTTATTTTTCTAAAAACCGATACGATATTAGACATTAATGCAATTCACATATTACAAATTTTGAAGAAAGAGCAGAGAATACCTACATAAAAAAAGTTGGAAAGCTAATTCTTGCCATTTACCTTCTCGAGGCGAGTGCATTTACCATTCTTAGGGTCGTTTTCTCGAACGCCTGTTAAATTTGTCTACCCGTTAAATTTTTTTTATTGAAGTTGCATGTGAGCCGCAAATTTGACGGGCGGTCAAAGCACCCGTTAACTTTAACAGGCAGTCGAGAAAACGGCCCTTAATAACGTTTGCAGTAAGAAATAGAACATTTATTCAAACTTTAAATTAGTTTAAAATTAATCAAAAAATCAACTCAAAATTTACACTGCGAGAGGAGGAAAGGCCTCCTAAATGAGAGCTTTAATATTGCCACTGAAATAAATAAACGTGCTAGGCCCATACAAGGAAGAAGGTAATGTTGAGTGTGTAGAAGAAGAAAGCGATAAAGACAAAGATTAAAATAAAAGTAAAAAACCTAAAGATAAAGACAAAGAGGAAGAAAAATTTAAATACTTTGAATAACTTAGTGAGAGGGGAGACCAGTATGTTTACATGTATGTATTTATATAAAAAAATATTTATTGGTTCAAAAAAAGGTGGGTAGGCACTGTGGCCAATGGTAGCTATAGGTGAGTACCACCTCTGCATGATTGTAAGTCAAGCAGCGTCCGTGCATCAGACTAGGTCGAGCATACTTTGAAGTGCCATCTAACATGGCAGTTGAGAAGTGCATGTGCAAAAATTTCATAAGTTTCATAAAGGAAATTTTTGCAAATGCAGCGGTACATAGCATGTATTTAGGCGCCTGTAGCTCGTTCCTGTAACTCTTCTCTACCGATTATTTCTCCACTGGTAGAGAATAAACGTCATTATCTACTACTCATTAGCAGTAGAGAACAAGGCGACGAATTCATATCTCAATTCGCCTTGGTAGAGAATTGTTACAGAAACGAGCTACAGGTGTACTTAACAAAATGACAAATATGTAGTTGAAGAAAAGGATCAAGATAAAGATCAGGATAGACGTAAAGGAAAAGGAAAAAATAAAGTTTAAAATAAAAAGATAAATATACAAATAAATAAATAAAATGGTAGATTAAGAAAAATAGATAAAAAGAAAATACAAATTGATGAATGCGATATGTTATGTTATGTTGTCTTATTCTATGTTATGTTTTGTTATGATATGCTATGTTATCTTATGTTATGTTAAATTTCGTTATGATATGCGATGTTATGTTATGTTATATTATATTATGTTGTTCAACGTATTTCAACTCAACTCACCACAGCTCACTTCAAATCATCTCAACTCAATTCACCTCACTTTAACTCACCTGAACTCAACTCACCCCAACTAGCGTCATTTCACCTCAACTCAGCTTATCTCACCTCAACTCAACTCACCTTAACTTATCTAAGCTTACCTAACCTGAACTCACTTACTTCAATTCACATCTCCTGAACTGGACTCAGCTCAGCTCAAGTCACCTTAACTCACCTCAATTCTCCTTTATTTTAGTGGTTGAATTTCAACTGCTGGGCGAACTCTAGTTATTCTAATCTATTCAACAAAACTTAAGCTTATTTATACCCAGCCAATTTTGACAGTCACTTCCCCCTCCACCCCTCCACTCCACCCTTTTTCCAGTCATTCGTAGATTCAAATTTCTAATTGAAATGTAAACAACCAGAGGAATGCATCCAGTTGAATTTGCATGACGTGACAATAGCTTTGAATTAATTAAAAATCATTCCTGCCAAATTGAAAGATATGACATTTTCTTATTTTAATTAAAAATTTGTATGAACAGCGTGCTACATGTTTTCACTGTACTAACCTCAAAGTATGCAACTTGAACTAAATGCATTTTGCCTCATTCGCATACTCGTAAAATTCTCAATCGGTCTTGGTGCCCAAACACTCAAGTCAGCTAAGTTTATTCGTCCTGCATACAAATTTTAGAGCCACGGCCCTAAGATATTAAAAAAATAAAAATAGCAAATTGAGACAGAACACAAAAAGCAGGTCAAACGAACTCTACGAAATTTAGTTACGGCAGGATTTAGGAAAGTTAAGGTCATATCCTAAACGAATTTAGAGAAAATGGACTTTCGCTCCCACTAGCACTATTTCCATAAGGAAGTATAAACAATTCCCTGGTTCGAAATAAGGTTAAAATTGGATTTGTACTACAAAATTGAGACCTGCTACATCTCTGTCGCTTTTGCGACTTGACTAAAGAGAAATATTCTCCTTGAAAGCAGCGCGTGCCGTCTGCAGTATACCTGAGAGGAGTCTAGGCTTTGTCCCGATGGTATGAGCGTAATCGCCTCTTACCCGCGAAGGCTCCTAAAAACTTTCTGTGAGGGTTAGGCTTACAAGAAGCGGTCGCTTCAGACCACCATCTCGTGGAGCACGCTTTAAATGAATATCTAAGAAATTTGTGTGACCGTCTTCGGTCCATTCGGGCAAGCTGCAGTCTAGTTGCTTAGAAAAAAGTTCCTTGCAAAAAAAAAACTTTTTGAATCTTTTTCTGCCAAACTTCGCACCAGACGAGAATACATATCTTCACAGGGTCTTTGTTCTGTCATCTGTCTTGAGTGACCAAAATTTAGGTATTGATCAGACATTTGCAAATAATTTTCATAAGGCCTTAGCTTAAACACAACTATAGCCCGCATTCCTAATGATAATTAGATAGGAACTATAACGTTTAGAAAATTCAGATAGATTGTATGGGCTGCATTCTATAAGAAACGGTTTACAGGTAACAGCTGCTATTGGCGCAACGGGTGCAATAAGATCTAACCAATTGAGGTTCTGAACAGTCTGCTAGTTAGTACCGAAAGACGCTTTTATCAGATTTCGAGCTTTAGGATACAGGCAGCACTGTCCGTCAGCGAACAGTACCATCCCAAGTTGACTTCCGTTTGTATGAAAAGCGCTGCCCTCTTGCTTTACCAATGCAAACTCTTAAACCAAATCCAAAACCCTCACAAAATACTCAAGCCACAGTGGCTGGCAGACGAGACTTAATCTAATGTCTTGTTTTTATCAGATAATTAGCGTGACCTACAATTTTTGGCGCTCTGAAAAGCTTATGTTTTTTCGAGGTCGCTAATTACGAATCCGCTATCAGAATCTCAAAATTCGAAATGGCGGATCGAGTAAGGCATCTGGTGAACTTCGGGATTTTCAATCAGAATTTTTAGAAAGATTTTGTATGAAGTTTTACAGCTCAGTCAATTTTAGTGTCACAAAGTGCAAGTTCGAAGTAACTAGGACTTACCGTTGATTTTTGAGAATTTTTTTTGACAGTGCCAGTTATTTTCTTCCATACGAAGTATGTTCGATGATATGAAGCAAATGGGCAACACCTTAAACAAAAAAAACCCAAAAATCAACCGTAAGTCCCAGCTTCTTTCAGCTAAGTAAAACAAGTAAGAAAGTCTAAATTCGGGCGGAGCCGAACATTAAATACCCGGCGCAAGTATTAAATATATGTTTTTTCACCTTTCCGAAAGCTACCGCTAGATGGTAAACCGGGGTGTATAAATTTTGAGTAAATTAGCGTCTTAAATTTCGAAATATTGCAGTTTCAAGCATTTCTGATATTTACCGTTACATGAAAAGCGGCCGTCATTTTAGTCCGATTTCAATAATTTTCAACGTTTTGCTTTGATGTGGCAAGCACAATAAAAATACCGAGTTTGGTACAAATTGGTAGACGGTTACCGATATACATATATGTGATCATAAGTGGGCGGTGCCACGCCCATTTTCCAAAATTTTACCATAAACGTATTTCTTGGTAAAGAATTGTTGCAAGCATCAATTTTGAATAAATTAGCTTTAATATTTACTGATTTATCGAAGATTTTGTATTTCTCTAAATTACCGTTATATGGGATGTGGGCGTGGTTATTGTTCGATTTTTAAATTTTCGGCCATTTAGTATGCTGTACCAAGGACAACAACTGTGCCAAGTTTGGAAGAAATTGGTGCATCGGTTACCAAGATATACACATGTAACCATAAATATAAATAAATTTATGATATTCTTATTTTTCGTCTAAAAATTGTTGTAAATATCAATTTTGAGTGAATAATCTTCAGTAGTTACTAAAATATCGCAGTTTTCGTATTTCCGAAAATTACCGTTATATGGGATGTGGGCGTGGTTAAAATCTGATTTCGCCCATTTTCAATACCAACCTACCTTGGATAAATGCAAACCTACATACAAAATTTCGTTGAGATATCTCAATTTTTGCTCGAGTTATCGTGTACACGGACGGACGGACAGACGGACGGACAGACAGACATGGCTTAATCGATTTCTCTTTTCATTCTGATCATTTATGTGTACATTTGTCTATATCTATCTCGATTCGTTTTCGCTGTTACAAACATCCGTTATGTGAACAAAATTAATATACCCTTGTGCACAAGTGCGCTCGGGTATAAAAATACCTTTACATTTTTATTTCTTAAAAACTTCTGTTACAGTATTAGTTTTCACAATTTTTTTACGTATTTTACCAACCTTCAGACGTAGAATCCATTTGGTTTTATTTGATTTCCTATTCTCTAACCAGGAGTGGAACCACATTTCCCGATCATTAAGTACCGCCGCCGAAGAAGTAGTTGGATTTCAGCAAGCCCGAAGGAACAACTGGTACGATGAGGAATGTCAAGAAGCCGCAGAGAAAAAAGATGCCGCCTACAGGGCCACGCTGCGATCGGGCGCAACGCGAGCCATGTGGGACCGTTATAGGGAACTGAAGAAGGAAGCGAGACGTATCTGCCGCAATAAGAAGAGAGAGGCCGAAATACGTGAGTGCGAAGAGCTTGAGATGCTGGCCGACAGGAAGAACGCCCGAAAATTCTACCAGAGGGTTAGGCGACTTACGGAAGGTTTCAAGACCGGGGCGAACTCCTGTAAGAACAACAATGGCGACCTAGTGACCGATGTCCAGAATATACTTAAATTGTGGAGGGAACACTTTTATAACCTACTGAATGGTAGCAACGCTGAAAGTAGTGAGGAGGACGAACCCGAGTCCCCAGTCGATGATGATGGAGTAGCTGTCCCACCGCCTGACAATGACGAGGTACGTATAGCGATTACGCGGCTGAAAAACAACAAAGCTGCTGGAGCTGACGGCCTGCCAGCCGAGCTATTCAAGTACGGCGGCGAGGAGCTGATGAGGTGCATGCATCAGCTCGTATGCAGAATATGGTCAGATGAACGCATGCCCGACGACTGGAATTTAAGTGTGCTCTGCCCAATCCACAAGAAAGGCGACCCCGCCATACGCGCCAACTACCGCGGAATTAGCCTTCTAAGCATAGGTTACAAGGTCTTATCGAGCGTATTGTGCGAAAGACTGAAGCCCACCGTCAACGAGCTGATTGGACCTTATCAGTGTGGCTTTAAGCCTGGAAAATCCACCATAGATCAGGTATTCACAATACGCCAAATCTTGGAAAAGACCCGCGAGAATAGAATCGACACACACCATCTATTTGTCGATTTCAAAGCCGCTTTCGACAGCACGAAGAGAAGTTGCCTTTATGCCGCGATGTCTGAATTTGGTATCCCCGCGAAGCTAATACGGCTGTGTAAAATGACGTTGAGCAATACCACCAGCTCTGTCAGAATAGGGAAGGACCTCTCTAAGCCGTTTGATACCAAACGAGGCTTCAGACAAGGGGACTCCCTTTCGTGTGATTTCTTTAATCTTATGTTGGAGAAGATAATAAGAGCCGCAGAACTGAACCGCTCAGGCACAATACTTTATAAGAGCGTACAATTGCTGGCGTAAAAACAAGGGCTACGTCTGTTCTGCCTTCTCGGGATTGGATAGAGAAGCAAAGCGAATGGGTCTGGTGATGAACGAGGACAAAACGAAGTATCTCCTGTCATCACACAAACAGTCAGAGCATACGCGTCTTGCCACCCACGTCACTGTTGACAGTTACAAGTTTGAAAAAGTAGACGACTTCGTTTATTTGGGAACCAGCATTAACACCAATAATAATGTCAGCCTAGGCAATTGAGAAGTAAAGTCCTCTCTCGTCGTACAAAGATCACACTCTATAAGTCACTCATCATGCCTGTGCTGGTGTATGGCGCGGAGGCATGGACAATGAAAGCATCTGATGAGGCGGCTCTTGGAGTTTTCGAGAGAAAGATTCTGCGAAAGATTTTCGGACCTTTACGCGTTGGTGATGGCGAATATCGCAGACGATTTAACGATGAGCTGTATGAGCTTTACAACGATATAGACATAGTGCAGCGAATTAAAATTCAGCGACCCCGCTGGCTTGGCCATGTCGTTCGGATGGACAGAAACGCTCCTGCTCTGAAAATATTCAACGCGGGCCGCGATGCTGGTAACAGAGGAAGAGGAAGGCCTCCTCTGCGTTGGAAAGACCAGGTGGAGAAGGACTTGGCTTCACTTGGCATTTTCAATTGGCGTCAGTTAGCACAGAAGAGAAATGACTGGCGTGCTGTTTTGGTCTCGGCCAAAATCGCTTAGGCGGT